CGCTTCTCGCTTTTTGATCTTTTGTTTTATCGCGTAATCGATCTTTCTAGTTTCCAGCCGAACGTAGATCGTCGGAAAATTGCTAACAAAACTGACATCGCGTTTTCTTCGTTCCAAATCTTACTTCGGGTTCTATCGTCCTTTTATCCACCGAATTGTCCTTACGATGATCGAACATCGTAAATTACATCATCCTGTCGTACGCGTCACGACACAACGAAAGAACGTGAACGCTATATCCCTTTCGGATCTTTCAGAATCTATGCGCGTGTACGCACGCAAAGAAGCAAAGCGTTACGCTCGTACAACCCTCGTGCAACGAACTATCGACGAATAAATGGGATAAAGTTGAAATTTAGTTAGGATTTGAAATTTTCGAAAAATGCAGAGAAACGTTTGAACGATAAAAGGGAGAACGATCGTCGATAAGATGACCTGTAATCTCCTGTAAGCTGGCCAGATGTTTCTGGCGGCGTGGTCCGCTTCGATCGCGTAAGATAAATACGTATATTATTCGTCGACGATTTAGAGTGGCCAGACGAAGAGTCTAGAATCTAGAATCCTTTGATACACACGCCTACGTGCACGTAGGCATGTCTCTGGAGAAAGTATGAAACACTCGCTAGTGTAACCCGTAAGCCTGGCTTTAGAGAGGCCTGCTGCTCTTTCCTCGCTAGCATTGGAAAATTTGTGCTGATTTATTTCTGTCGTAGCTTCGGTTTTTCTAGATGTCACGACCCTTCCATCAGCTTCGATGTGGTTTTCTCGCGTTTGTAAAATAGACGTACAGTTGGTTCGTTAAACGTTCGATTTCTAACGATTTACATTTCGTTAAAAGCTAGGCAGTTTATATATCGATGTTCGAATATTAAAAAGTAGGGGTACACGCGTAAGTGCTAAACTATCTAACCAAAACGGTATACACGAATGTTAGAAAATTTGAGATAACCTACATCGGTAATACCTGTAAGGAGAATTGGTTGTAACGTTAGAAAATTCACGTATGTAAATGTTAAAAAGTAAGAAATTTGCGTATATAGATACTAAATTTACGTACGACTCGTAACGATGACAAACTTGAACTTTGGACGATAAATAAATATTTCTTCCGCAGCTTTGTATCGTCGTGAAAAACGGTATTACACTCATTGGCGTTTGACGTTCGATATTGACATAAACGGATCTTTCATCTCTAACGATACAACGCTGATCGTAAGTGAACACGCATCTCGTACGTCGCGTTATTGCTAAAAAAAGAGGAAACGTTCTTGTACTCGATAAACGTCGAGCGCCAATATATTATAGCTTTGGGCAGCCGAGTTACAAAAATCAATTTGCGATTCCAGTTTTCGTGAAAATCGCACAACGGCGCGATTTTATTACTTCTACCCTCGACGAGGTTGTGGCATCTTTTGGCGGACGTCTCGAAAGCTAAGAGGCAGCTTTTTATAGAATTCGAATCGACGTAAAAGCGATACGAAACGTAACGGGGAAACGTAAGCTACCGCTATCGTATAATCTATTTTCATTTCTAATAATATAATTTCTGTAATTGTAACTTAAATGTAGCTTTATTTACGTTCGAATGACATAAATGTAAACGAGTTCACATTTTTTACTATACTAGAGATGTCTTAGCGCCGCCTTCGAGATTTGTAGTGTATTTGGTACGCTGTTTCGTAACAAAATGGGTAATTAAAAGTAATCTAATCGTTTGTACGTATGTGTCTAGATAAAATACAAATAAGATAGAGATTTATTATATTACAAGCAAAAACCTGGGCAAACAAAGCGGAAGAAACAAGGGCGAATGGATAGCGGCGACGTGATCATCCGGGACGAAAACAGGTACAAAGGAGGAATCGATTTATGTTTTGGAAACGTCTCGTACGAAAGAAAACACGTTGCCTTTGCCACGACCAGCACGCTATCCACGTTCCGATATAGTCGAAAATTGTATTTCGGAAATATGTTATAGCAAATACGTAAGCAACGATTTACGTTTCGATACGCGTTAACTTGCAGCATCGCTCGTTCGATTATATTTAACCGACGTGTCGGCAGAAAGACACGCTCTGATAGTTTAAAAGAATTGAAAGACAAATTACGTATTCCACGATGCGAGCAGAGTATCCGAGGAAGGAGTATAGAGGAAAAGATCGATGATAGCCAGATACGGTTGTGGGGAAAGGGTTAGACGATTGTGAGTAAAGGAAAGGAGAAGAACGATAGATTACGTGGACAGAGGGGGGAAGAGAACCGACGGAATATCACGTAGAAATGGTAAAAAGGATAGCGGGTCGAGTAAGATTTGCGAATATTCCAATTATCTCAAGTATCGTTATTTGCCATTAAAGTATCGTATCGGTGTGTACACTTGGCGCTCTTTTTACGCGATTCTCTCTTACCTCGCCTTTATCTATCGTTCGTTTATCGTCTATTCGCTTTTACACGATTGTTTTTCCGACGCGCGTTAAAAGAGTCTCGGGCACCTTCGACTTGAAATTAGAAATCGATAATAACGAAGAGCGTTAGGTGGGAGCGAATGGTACGCGAAAGAATGGCTATGAGCGAGCGGCAGTACGTAAGTGAGATACGTATGTAGTTTCGAACGGCGAACGAACGAATTATGACTACGATCGAAGTTGATAAAAAAAAAAACGGAAGATAATAACGAGAAAGGATAAGGAGAAATACGACCAACCGATAACCTGGGACGTCGTTTCGCTGTAATATCTCGTACGTTCTGCGCGATTTCAAAGGATACGATAAAAGGATATAACGAGGAATTAAAGAGAATCGCTGGTAGAAAACTTGTATACTTTACGACGCAGTCGAAATTCGTGAAAAAGAGAAGCAGAGGATGCCGAATTCCGACGTGCCACCTTTTATTTGTAAAGAAAACTCGATGTTCCGTTCGTATCGGATAGATGGTACGGACAAGACTTTTATATTTTTCTCTGCAGAGACGACGTTAAACACCGTGCACCGTCTTCTAGCGTTATTAATAACTATTTCGAACAGGGAATTGATATTCATCTCGATGTGGTATACGTGGTCACGTTCGAATATATCGATACCGTTGCAAGTTGTTTATTACGCGCTTCGAAATATCCTGTTGGCCAATGTTGCCGAAAACAACGCCAGAAACCACGACACCACGCTACGAACGCCATTTAAACTCTCGTTTGACAGCGTGCCACGAATTCGAATCGTCACGAATGGAAACAGCGAACGTGATTCGAATGGACGAATGATTTTGATGCTGTTTTATCCAACGATCCGGTGTTGGTTGGATCCGATTGAACGATACAGTTATCAAGGTCAGTTACCGGCGAGATCGACGCAAGAACATGCGATTCGTGATTTTGTAACGTTGCTCGATGCACCGTGAACGAGATTCGGATGTATAACGAGTCGTTTAACGTTCGTTTTATTCGTTGCACGTATACGTATTCGTAATACTACGAATCTAAGATCTATCCGCTTTAATTCGTTTCGATGAAACCAAACGAACTAACGACAAAATTAACTAACTAACCAACGAAACTAACGACAAAAGGAAACACGATACGGGTTTACTAATTTCCGCTAGTAACGCGCAAAATAAATTAAACCGATCGAAACGAAGAATTCCAATTTTTTAGTATCTTCGAAATAAAAGACTTATATTTTGCGGAATATAGAGCATCGTGTATTTTTCTACAGAGATACGTCGGATCTAAGGAAGATTAAAATTTCTAATTTCTCTTACGAAAATAGACGCTCGTTCGAATTGTTCGAATTGTATAAAAATCGTAGAGGAAAGCATTAATCAGCCGATCGTCGTGCATTCATCGTGACTGTTGCTTTCACCTTTATACACTCGGTATTTCGCCAGCTGTACTGTTACTTCGTCCTCTAAACCATCCATTAAATCCTTCGTTCACCGCGAACCTGATGCGGAAACCTGCTACCACTGTTCGATGCTCGATGATCTCGCGGCCCTGACACTCGCGCTCTCCACTCTGCTATGTGGTTACTTTAATTACAGTTAACAACGATCGTTATCATATCTGACGTCGTCAAACAGATTTGAAACGCAGTTATAAAATTTACACCAATTATACGTGTTTATACAACGATCGTTTTCATCCCGACTAACGGAATTTATTTACCGAATATTTAGAGGCTCCTAGTGTTGGGTAGTTAGTAGCCAGAATACCGTTGTACATTTTACACTCGTGTAACAAATATTTTAGTATACCTCCGATTATCCTACCATCGTTCTATTATCCGTATTATCCTACTATATTCACAGTCTACTTACAACCTTCTTTCCAAGCACCATTAAATTCAGAAATGCTTTATCTTGCTAGCGAATCTGAATATCCCGAAGAAATTTGCAAGAAATTGCAAGTTCAATTTCTTCGTTTCAATTTCCTTTATTTATCAATTTGTGGGCTTAACTCGACGCACGAATTCCGTATATTTTCGACACGTTGCCTTCGATATATTGCCACGATGCATTGCGATATACATTTACCAAAACGTTTAACTTTTGCGAAATATCGTATCGTGTTTGCCAACTTCTTTTCCGGCGATATTAGCCAGGTCATTCGCATCGTCGACAATTTGGTAGCTTACGAAAATCTTATCTCGATCGTTGTACAGAAATCCGTTGAAATCGATCTCGTTGAAACAAAACGATTAGGTATTTCGGCCACCGGTGTAAGTTGCCAATCGTCGTGTTAATCGCTGTAATTGTCTTCTTTAACGGGATCGCTGCTACGTTTCACGAATTCGCAGACAGATCTGTTCCTCTCGCTAGTTTCGTAGCCTCCGATTTAGACACAAAGTTCTTAAAAACCGGTTAAAATGTTTTCTTCGGCCGGACATTTTCGTCGCCGATCGTTGATCTTCCGATACCAATTTTGTCCGGAGCTCGTATTTAAAACCGATACGGTGCGGTTAAGCGTCTCTTCTCCGGCAAATATTATCGGAAAAACGGTTCTACTCACATTTTTCAAGTGCGTCTATCATGTCACAGGCTCACGTGTCTCTCGGTCTCATCGTGACGATGACTACTACTGCTGCGGCCCAATGTCAGCCGAAAAACGCTCGAGTGTTCGGTCGGTGTGGTAATTCACATGACAGTCGGTATACCGTGGTATACCGATGGCAAACTGTTCGCGAGCTTCCGTTTTCCGTGCAACGAAGACTCTCGACCGACGAAAGAGAGAAATCGATATCGACCGGATCCTATCGAAAGGATGCGACGCGGTGAGAGGCCGACTCTCGACTGAACTCGGCGAGCGTGCAGCCTTGCAACTTTAACGTTCCGAAATCTCCAGTCCACCACCTGGTTGTTCTCCTGCGAATGGTGGGGAATGCAGACAGATTCGCCGATGCGGTGTACTCCTCGGAATAATTGGCTGGTATTCCTCGATCTTGCTTGCAATTCGTTTTAAAGAGAACGGCGTGGTCCGAACTTGTTTATCAGTTTCTTTAAACCAGATACGCTACGTTTACACGCAACGTACCGAGGAGCGTGGCAACGATATGGACAGATTTTGAAATTCCGATTTCTTTTCTTCCGACCTTTTCTACGTTTGCTTCGGCGAGTCAGGCAATCGTACACAGGGTTAGTTGCGGCTTGAGTTTCACGAGTTACAGTATCGAACAAACGCGATCGCAAATTCTACGACGAAACGATCTCGTAATGGTCAAATTTGTTCGCGAATATTCCGTAATGGAACGCGATCTTGATAAAGGATTATATAAATCAAAATGTCTGTTTCTTATTACATATCGTATCAAGCTTGGACAGTTCGAGGCTTCGTGCTTGCGTCTACTTGATCCACCACCGTAGTAGCGTTATTGGCGGTTCGGTTTATTCTTCATGCGGCAAATTCGACGACCTTGATCGAGAAGATATCCTACTTCCTCTTCCTGTTCAACGATCAGGAAACACATTGTTAGGCGTTCCATCAACGCACGATGTTACATAGTCGGAATATTACCAATTCCTTCGAAGCGATTGTAACTTAACGTGTCCTAGCAACGGGTGTTCCGTGTTTGACAAACTTGAGTAATACTAAACAGCGTTATTAGCGCGAATTCGTGTCATGCTCTCGATCGAGTCGACGAATTAGATACCCGTACGGGCTGTGCCGTGGAAAAATAGGCAAAGCTATCGTACGTGTAAGCGAATATGTAGCGGAGAATTATATTTTAAGTAAAAATATGCTAAAGCGGAAGAATCAGACTAGACGAGGAAAAAAGTAGAATCTTATATTTACGGGATGAGCGATGAATTGGGCCTGAAAATTCAATTTTTGCACGGGGGGTGGAGTACTATATGAAATACCGCATGACAGAAATATAACAAAAGTATAATAAAATTGATGGTCCTCGACGAGAAAAAAGGGCTATAATCTTTTCATTTTCGCTATCGAGAGAAATATCTCTTTTTCGATATTTTTACTTTACCGTGTTACCATTTCGTTATGGCTATTTTCATGGCTGCAGTTTCTCTCGGAGCAAGCAGCGCGTTTAACGACAAATGTTTTCCGATCGTAAAAGCGAAAGAATTCGATGGTGCAACAGAGAAATTCTCGAGAAATTACTTAAATAGTAGTCTTTCGTTCCATTAACGCTAGCATTAGGCTTTACGATAACGAAACGTTGTTTCTCTTCGTGGCGAAACACAACTACGTGTACTTTGAAACAGTTTAAATTTTACTTTAAAATTAGCTTTTCATTTATATAGCCGATATACCCGAGCCTCTAATTGCTTCGAACCAAACCATTTTTCGTTCGATTCTTTGGACGATTTGGAAAATTGACTTTACGCAAATTGAAATAAAGATAAAAGGATAACGATTTTAAACGACGAACGATTCTAGCTAATTCGTTAATTTAGTTGGTTTAGGTTCGGCGATCAACGAACGAATTACGAGAGATCGTAATTATTTAAAAAGAAATCGTTATCGTTAATCTTCTTCGTATTTCCTAAGTCATATTTTTCATAGTTTCTTCGGACTTGAGAGTGGAATAACGAGGGAAATAAATGAAATAACGCGCGAGCACGACGAGTCCTTTTAACAGCTACGACAAACACTTTGGAGTAAAAAAACGTCGCTCGGGCCAATGAGAGCGCAAACGTCGTGCGTTCTTTTACATAATCAGACAGACTTGGCGCGTAAACTAGAAATCGCGAAGCGGCGAGGTAATTGAATCGAATTGAATTGAATAAAACCGCGCGCGGAGCACTGACTTTCTCTCCGGATCACGTAATAAGTCCGAAATATTATACGTACGCGCGCATATGTCCAAGTTATGTCATCCTACGGTTTCTTCCCTTTCGTTTTTCTCCCTTTGGTTCGAAAGTAAAACGTCGCATTCGACTCGCCTCTCGGAAAAACAACGACGCGATTTGCGTGCTCGATAATCGGTGCCCGATAATCGTGTAACGTCAATTCACATCGGAGACCAGGCCACACATCACGGACAGGATGTCTGCACGTCCTTGGCGCGTACCCTCGATAGTCTCAAGTACCCACCACCTCGATAGTCTCAAGTACCCTCTTGGAATTTTCCCTTTTGGAGTTAAGGTCCTTCGGACCAAGCGAGTATCTCATGTCTTAGATTTCCTTTTACGTTTATCGTTTACCACGCGTTAGCATGGAAAGTTGGTTTTCCTCGCATGCGGTATGTTCCGTTGGCGACTTTCTCGCGAGAGCGGCTGAAACCCTTCCTGATCCACCAACCCTCTTATTATCCAATCGGAGACGATGTCTACTGCCCTCGTTTCCTTAAGCAAAATTGTCATCGACGAATCCGATAGTCCCGTGTCCTCGGACACACCCACCCCTCGGACACAGTATCGTCAGTAAGACTCGCTTATTCCGTATCCTTGGAATAGTCAACGTATCTTTATCGGTCTCTACCCTTGTAACAGTCGCGTACCTAACGCATCAGTGTAACTAAGTTTTATATAACGTGGTTGGAGTGAATTGTGATTTATGTTAATTCAGCGTGTATTCCGTTGCGATTGCTGAATTCGTAACAAAGTTTAATTAAAACAAAATTAACCTCTACTCCGCGATCCTTTTCGATACCCGCCCAGCTCGGCTCCCTCCTCTGCAAATTCCCTTTTCAAGATTATCCTTGAACACCACACAAACCTTTTTACCGAAATCTCATCGCATCTATAAATCTTCCTTCCGAAATACGTAACCTTGCACTTGTACACTTCTGTAACGTTACGTTTATTAGCCAAGCCTGTAATAGGCGAGAGCGTAGCGCAAGAATGACGGTAATAAGACAAAAAAAAAAAAAAAATAATACTTTATTAATCGTGGAAGGGGGCACTTTATCGCTCTCCTCTGACTCCGCCACCGTACCTATCCACGAGTGCGAATCGCAGGGTCACCGATCTGCAAATGGCAGAAAGAAACAGATTTGCGTCGCACGAAAGCAGCCGCCAAGGTGAAAGAAACACGCGGGCATAATCACGGTGAAAGGAAGCTCCGCCATTGCTCTGCGCCGGAACCAAAGCTATTATTCCAGCCAGATGACAGAGACAGACTGCGGAAAACCGCTCCGCGACGTTTGTAAAGGTCGCGTTTTTCCGCTCGAGCAAGACCGTTTGCGTGCGTGTCTCGCGTCTTTCATAGCGTCTCTATGAGTCGAACGAGGACGAGGTTTGTTTTCTTTCCTCCAGGCTAAATTACTACGAACCTCGTTGCAAGAAGATTGACGTTACCCGAGGATGAAAGCTGAGATTTGCATAGTGCGACGTTCAGTCGGATGGCATCGTGGGAATTCTAACGGAGAGCTGTATCGTACGGTATTGTGTGGCAGGCTCTGTCTGCTTGGGATCTCGCTCTCTCGCTTCTCACCCGCTCTTCTGTCACGATTTTTTAGTTTGCGTTTTGAGAAAACGCTCGTCGTTACCACGCTAAGCTCGCTATGTTATGCGCGTTTATGGGAAATTTAAAGGAACAAAGATTTTTTCCGCTTCGCAATCGGCGCTATTTTACGATTCTTCCTCTTTCGCGATTCTCCTTACTTCGTAACGCTTCCTACCTTGTCTCGTAATTTCTTCATTGTTATCGTTTTTTCACGCCTACCGTTCTTCCTAAATTTTCTAGTTTCACGAACGGGTCCTCTGTGATTTCTCCTGCGCTACGATTCCTCGTAGAGCAAATAGAACTGTACGGAATTATATCGAAGTGGGATAACGGGATGTAGGGAAAGAAAACTCGTCGGGTGACAAAGAAACGTTAAGAATGACAAAGGGGATGGTTGACATTTTCATTTCTGACAACTTTACGACTTTCTCGGTAATTGGCGATTGCTCGTTAATCGAACGTCGTTAGGCGATAACTTTCAGAAGGATTCGCGTGGCCAGAGAACAGCAGCGTCCGATTGATTTACTACAAAGTTTACTCGCGTCGCGTCAAACTTTGAGACGAGATAAAGATCGAAAAGAGAAACTCGGGTCAATGCGCCAAACGGTCGCGTGCAAATCGTCGGACCGTTGATTGCCGATTATGCGACTAATCGATTATCGAAAAATGAGTAGTTCCGATTGAAAGTAATCCTATTGAAAAAGTAAAAAGTAAGATATTTATATCCTTTGCTGCTATTTGGAAAAATTATGTTCCTTTGAGTTTGAATTACGGTCCGCTGGAAAGTTTAGAATATCAGATACTACTTTTATTTATATTCATCTTCGCGTATAGATAGCTTCTTCTTCTGAAAAGTTACATTTGAAAAACATCGTTACAAAGGTGCGCTACGAATTATTAGAAAAAAGTATATTTATTTCTTAAAAAATAAGTGGTACAATAGGCAACGAGTAAATGGTAAGAACTGTTCGCTCGTAACGTTACAACGTCGACGATTAATCTCATACGGTAGTGCGTGAAAAGCGAAATCTTGACAGCCAGAGTTACTACGAGTCTCTCGGAAGCTAAATTCGTAAGAAGCAAATTGTACCGATGGTCGATTTAAAGATGTTCGTCGTTCGAAAGATGTCCCTAGGTTGAGACCACGTTCAGCCGAGCTATTTGACAATTCTTGGTCGTCAAGATCTTTGGTTGCTTGGCGAGCAGAGCTTTCGATTCGTCAGGACACACGGTAATGCTAGATTAAACAGAAAGAAGATCTCGCAACTGTATATATCAAAGTTGCGCGCGGATATCCTTGGTAACGATCGGACGTCGTTAGAAAAGATCGACATAAACGTCGCCTACGAGCGACGGTATACCTGCGACGTACTCGAAATCATCGTTATAACGCGAT